GCGAATAAGAAGTGAATAAGAAGCTGGGACGCGAATAAGAAGTGAATAAGAAGCTGGAGCTTGAATAAGAAGTGAATAAGAAGCTGGCCGAATAAGAAGCTAACTTCAGCCTCGTGACCTCCGGAGCAGCCGGTTCTCGGTCGATCCAGCAGCCTCTTCCGATACTCTGAAGCACTGCCGACGAGAGAGAGAAAAAAGATGCTTTGTGATTGGAAAGAAGCATTTGCTCCGATCGCTTTTTTTCAGACGACAGGAAACCAATTGCCATCTTTAAAAGTAACCCGTACACAGTACAGTATTGACATACGGTCTGAAAAGTTTCACACAAAAATGGGCGGAACAAAAGCAGCAGGGCAAAAACAGAGAGAGAGAGAAAGCGAAGGCTGGGAAAAGGGAGGCGAACGCCGCCCACCTCAAGCTGCCGAAGCCTGACAGACAAGACAGACGGACGAACGGACGCCCTCCCTCCATCCGCGGCCCTCCGCCCGGCCGCCCGCCCACGCACAGCTTCCCGCTCCGGGACCTGCGGAGGGGCGGCCCGTACGCTCTGAGGTCACGACGGCCGCCGTATTAGGCGGAGGACGGAAAAGGAGGGCCGGCCCGGTGGGTGCCATTGGCCGGGAACATGGCGGTGAACAGGAACCACTCGCAGGGTGGAGGGGTTATCCCGCCCAACGGGGAAAGGTAACCGGAGCGAGGCTGGGCTGGGCTTGGAAGTGGGGGCCGGCGGGTGGGCGGCGGTTCTTCCGCCTCGTTTGTCCTCCTCCTCTCCGTCGTCGCGGGGGCTGTTCTGCTTCTCCCGTGCGCCAGAGAGCGGGCACGTTCGCCCCCTGGGAGCTGCCTTCCCCACAAAGGCCCCCCCCCCGGACACGGCGCCCACTTCGTCCCTAGGAGACCTGCCCTTCCCCCCCCCTCAGGCTTGGCGGAGTGATTGTGAGGCCAAGCCCGCCTGCAATGCTCCGTGTCACGCAGAGCCCCCCCGTCGCCGCCACGCCTGCGGTGCCGTTTCTCCGGGGTTTTACTGACTGCTGCTTAATATCCGGGGGGTGGTGGTGGATGGGGGAGTGTATGTTTGTTGGGATGTTGTCGCGACGGGCTCCGTCTTCTCAGCAGTGCTGCTAAAATGGGCCCAAGCTTAAACTCATGGAGGGCCCTCAGATTCTCGTATGTTTCCTCATAAACAAAAGAAATATGAAATTGCTGCCTTCCCGGAATGCAGGCTACATTTATTTATGCGTTTTCTTCGTCAGGCCTCGTGACCCTAATCCGTGTTCTCTTTCTATCATGTGCTGCCCACAACGAGACGTGGATACTGAGATTAAGGCCCGGATAAATTACTTTGTTTCTTAATACCCTTTTAGCAGGGTAGTCACTTTACTAGAGACATGGCTGTGGTGACACGTATCCCAAAGGAACATTGGGAGTAGACTTTTCCTGGAGGATTGGTTTGTTAAACGCTTACTCCCACCAAGATCTACCCCTGTCACTCGTGCGAGCCAGGAGGTGAGGCTGAGGAGCCTAACGCGGAGGGAGGCCGGGAAGGAAAAGACAAGAAATCGGGCCTCGGCGGTGGCTCCTCGCCTCTGGAGCAACCTACCTCCTGAGATTCGCAGGTCTCCCTCGCTGGGTATCTTTAAGAAGCAATTAAAGACATGGATGTTTCAGCAGGCCTTCCCATCACATAACTCCTGACCCTCTTCTTTCTTCCCTTTCTGTTTTTGCTTTGTGTATCGTGTAACGTCATGTAGTGCTTTTATCACTTAGAACTGCCTATTTTCATTTTTATTGTATCATTTTATGATTGTTAGCCGCCTAGAGTGGTCCTCACCCGACCAGATAGGCGGGATAGATAGATAGATAGATAGATAGATAGATAGATAGATAGATAGATAGATAGATAGATAGATAGATAGAAATAAATAAATAAATAAATGTGTTGCAAGGAAAGACAATGTTCTCTAGAGACACTTTCAAAGACTAGCAAGTTCCGTGTTAGTTTTTGTGGCGGTCAGCCCACATTAATCAGTTGCAGCTGATTAAGGAGGTACTGTAGTCTTCCTATTAATAACTGGTCAGAATCCTATTGTTGTGTGGATAAGGTCTGTGCAAATTGCTGTGGCTTGTTGATAAGGTGCCTGGGCACATATTGGTTACCGAGTCTGGCCCATGTCTAGGCACGTGACTGAGGCACATCCTGGGATGTTGTCAATTAGCCACAGTTAGACATAAGGTAGCTAATTACAGAAACTATGTGAACACTACTAGACTTCCAGCTGTTATTTATTTTCTTTTACCTTTATGGCCTGTCTTCTTTCCAGTGCCCTCAAGGGGGTACATATGGCACTCTTCTTCCCCACTGCATTCTCACAACAATTCTTTGAGAGTGACTGGTCCAAGGTCAGCTAGTAAATCTTCACAGTTAGTAGACATCCAAAGTTGGAAAAAAAGTTCAGCATCCAGCTCAATATTTATGCACATGGAGCTCCAGTTGTGGAATCTGTCATGGTGACATGGACTGGGCCATACAAATCAGTCACACAACCACACACAGCCCACACCTTGTCAGATTACCATGGCAACTTTTACTGTTGGACAGGATACCAACCAAAGAGTTTGTCATTTTGTTAACTCTTTTAAAGGGTTGAATGGTACGTGTCATTCTTTGCAGTCTTTCTGAGTCATAGACCTGCAGGATTCTGCCAGTGGAGGAAAATTAGATTATTTTGAAGTGAGCAAAGCTCTTGTAAACTAGAAGAGTTCTGTCATTTCAACTTAATGTTTAATATTTCCATTCTATTGGGGACTATTTTACTGTTGCTAGTAGTTCTTTTAGTGTTCTGCCTTTATTACTGTTGTTATGTACCATCAAGTTGGAACCTATTTCTATGGCCCTAATAGGGCTTTCAAGGTAGCTGATGTATTTAAGGGGTGGTTTTACCAGTTCCACACCTCCAGTGAGCTTCCATGGCTGAGCAGGGATTCAAACCCAGGCTTCCAGAGTCCTATTCTGTCACTCTGTCCACTACACTGCACTGGGTATCTTCTACCTTTGTTACATTAGTACTCTCAAGTCGACGGTAACACCAGACAATAATAGGACAGAATGTAATGTCTTGTTGACAGAATGAAATCTTCTTGGTTTAGGAAACACACACATTTATTCGTCTTCATGAGAAGAAAGCCAAAAGAGTTAGTCACATGATTTCTAGTTGATCAGTGGAATGGCTAAATTAACAGGCATTGGACTGTTCTTTCATAACATGTTCATGAACAATAATATTAAAAGCTTTCATCAGTAAAAGTTTATGAGCAAGAAGTAATTTAAGTGTATTCTAATGAGAACGGTAAGAATTTCCTACAAGAAGAATCAATTAAATAACTGATCATAAACTACTCTGGCCATAAGAAGATAGTGGCATATTTTTGTAAGGTTAAAAAAGGCATATTCTGCTAACACTACTCAAATACAGTGGTGCCCCGCATAGCGACGATAATCTGTTCCGGAAAAAGTAGACATGGTCTAGAGGGGCAGGGTAAAAATCAAATAAATAAATAAATTAAAATATCCGGATTCGTCGCTATGCGAAAAGAAAAAGCCCATAGGAATGCATTAAACCCTGTTTAATGCATTCCTCCTGGAAGGACAGATGCTGAAGCTGAGGCTGCAGTACTTTTGCCATCTCATGAGAAGAGAGGACTCCCTGGAAAAGACCTTGATGTTGGGTAAGTGTGAAGGCAAGAGGAGAAGGGGACGACCGAGGATGAGATGGCTGGACAGTGTCACTGAAGCAACCAAAATGAATCTGACCCAACTCCGGGAGGCAGTGGAAGACAGGAGGCCCTGGCGTGCTCTAGTCCATGGGGTCACGAAGAGTCGGACACGACTAAACGAAACGAAACGAATGGGCTTAAAACTCACCGTTCTGCGAAAATCCTCCATACAGCCGCCATTTTCGCTGCCCGGTATGCGAGGAAACGGCGCGAAAACACTGCGGGCGGCGATTTTTTCTGGTAGCCATTTTAGAACCACCGATCAGCTGTCTTTAAAACATCGCTGTGTGGAAATCGGTAAGCGAAACAGCTTACCGATCATCGCATAGCGATATTTTACCATTAAAGACATCGTTATGCGATCACAAAAACGATCGCAAAAAATCTGTCACTATGCGGATTCGTCATTAAACGAGGCGCTTGTTAAGCGAGGCACCACTGTAACAGTGTGTGCATCCTCCTTATTCCTTGATATACCTGTTATCTAATAGGATGCAAAATGAGAGACAGGTATGAGCAGTTTTGCCTGCAGATCAGCCTTATTAGCTTGTAGATTAACTATGCTCTTTTTTTTAGCTGAACGGGCTAGATAGTTGATATTGTGCTCATTTATTACCTGATCTTATGCATGGTTACTTAGAAGTGCATTTGCTGTGTTCTAAAAACCTGACTCTCAAAGAATATACCAGTAGGATTGGTGGAGGGTCAGAAATGGTTTCAGTTTTCTGCACATAGTGATGGAGAATTCCCACTAAGTAAAATTTATAACAACATTTGGCACACATATGTTCCTTTGTATGCTCTTGATGCATATATATTCCTTTATGTGTGGAGTGCCTGGATGATTTTTTTTCCCCAGTAAGAACTACAGCCAAAATTTATACTAATGATTAAAAACTGTTTTGTAAACACAGGTATTCAGTGATTTGAGATGCTTTCGTTCATACTTTCCTGTTGGAAAGAAAGTGAAATACTTCCGGAATATGTTAGCCATGGAGCCATTATCCAGGGGCTCTAGCTTAATGTCCAAAAATTAATGTGTCAGCTAAATTGTGCTTTCTTTTCTGAACTATCTATAGAACTGAAGCTGGGAAAATTATGTTTTAAACCACAACTCCTGGAATATCACATTGCTGGTGTTGTCTGAGAGTTACAGAAGATAACTCTTTTCATAGCTCTGAGAATGTACCATGAAGTTAGCTAAACACGCTAACATATTGTTTTTCTCCTTCTTTGAAGTATTCTCAAGCATTGTAAAGATGTGGAGTTGACCTTCTCTGATGTGACTGGTAAGCCAGAGATCTTCAAAGGCACCAAGAAAGGAATGGTATTCCTCACTCCTTACAGGGTAAGTCTTGGGTAAAGGGCTATTTGCATGAACAGTGACATTCCAGATGCCTTTGCAAAAATTGTATTTGCTTAATTAAGAACACGAGTCAGTTACAGTCTCTCTTTCTCTGTCTCTCTTGCTCATACATATACATACACTAAATAAGGCCATCTTTTATAATCTTTTTTGTAGCTACAGCTAATTTGAAATCCTTCAGCATTTTTCCCCTTCTGGTAATATAGATGAAATCATGATATAAGGAGGATGTTCTTTGTTCTCTTTTCTTAATATTCAGAATCGCTGCCACTAGTTCCTTGAGGCCTTCTAGGCTAATCACCACTTGTTTTTGGTGATGGCTTATGATATGGGAAAGTGTTTCATGTGGTAGAAAATAGAAACTGGTTCTGTTGGTTGTTTTCCATTGCTGATTTCCTTTGCAAGATGGTACTTTTGTATTTGTATTTGAAGGCGTTGCTTACTAGATGCCCTTGGAATTTTCCTGATGGTCCTTGCTACTTGATAAATACCAAAGAATGGGATGTTTTAAATGTTTGAGAACTGCTCTGTAGGATTCCATGTTTTCTCTGCAGGTTAGAGCACACAGTGGTCCTGTTGTTTAGCATAAATGAAATTGTAACTTTTGGTGTCTGGTAAACAAAGCTTCTTCACTGTATGTACATGCATGCATCCCTGACAGTGGTGGCAACAACAGTTTTTTTTGCCTAGGAGGAGCAGACCAAAAGTTACTACAGTGGTGTCTTGACCTACGAAATTAATCCATTCCGAAAGATGGTCGTAACTTGAAATGGTCGTAAGTCGAAGCACATTTTCCATAGGAATGCATTGAAATGCAATTAATCCATTCCGGCCGAAGGAAAAAATCACCAAAAAAACCCTGCAATACCTATCAGAAACGCGATTAATCCATTCCGGCTGAAGGGAAAAGAAAAAAGAAAAGCAAGAAAACCATGCAAGACCCATCGGAAATGCAAAAAAAGGAGAGCAGAAAGCAAGCAAACTGTGCAAGACCCATCGGATATGCAAAAAAGGAAACCAGAAAGTAAGCAAATCATGCAAGACTCATCGGAAATGCAAAAAAAGCAAAGCAGAAAGCAAGCAAACCGTGCAAGACCTATCAGAAATGCAAAAAAAGCAAAGCAGAAAGCAAGCAAACCGTGCAAGACCCATTGGAAATAGGGAAAAGAAAACCCGAAAAGCAAATAACCCCCCCAAGACCCATCGGAAATGGGGGGACCCAAAAAGCAAACAACCCCCCGAGACCCAATGGAAATGGGAAAAAAACACCAAAAAACAAACCCCCAAGACTCATCACAGCATAGAAACATAATCCCACCACCCAATCCAAAACCACCCACCCAGAACAGTTTTTAAAAAACCAAAACCAGCACCTTAACTTACCAGGCAGTCCGAAGCCTCCTCCGATCGCACTCATTCTAACCGTTGGGGCGAAAGAGCTACAAAGAAGCAGCCTCTTCGCCTACCAACGGTTAGCAATTTGAATTTCCCACCTTTTCCCCCTGCCTTTTTTTGGTTGCAACTTGGAGCTCCCGCCGCAAGTCGAAGCAAAATTTTGCAGCCGGAGCTGGTCGTAACTGGAAATGGTCGTATGTTAGGACGTTCATAAGTCAAGGCACTAATGTGTGCACAAGTCTGTATGGGAGGAGACACCTTTTTTGAGCTACTTGGGGAAGGTTTTTGCCCTGAAGGGTAACATATAGAGACCTTACATTTGTACCTGATCACCTTTTCTGTACCATTATTGACCACAAGTTTAACCACTGCCACTGGGTCATCCAGTTCAGGCTGCCCTCTGACCTGTCAGGTGAAAATTGAGGAACCATTTTCATATATTCTGTGCAGGATTGTCTTTCCAAAATGCTTTGAAACTGCAGCTGGAACAAATTGCAACAGCCTGCTTCTTAATTGGTATAGTGTAAGAAAAGAATGTGGCAGATATTTCTTACCTGTGAAAGTTCTTGCATGAACCCCTCTCCTTCACCATCTTGCTCCTGTTCACTTGTAAGCTTTGTGTATGAGCAAGAACCCAGATTTTCCAGGTTACACACAAGCAGGGTCTTCTCTTCTTCAGACTCATTGTTACTTGTATGAGCAAAGAGACAAATGAGGGAGCCACGCTAGGTGTTCCTATCTAAGCATGTTCACTAACCCAGAGACTATAGTCCATTTGATAGGGCTATAGTTACTAAGCAATTATAACTCATAGAGCTAGTGACTATAAAGCACTGTAAGTGCTGGATGTGGCATATCTTTTTCATTTCATTAGTCCTACTCTGTCATTGAGACTGTCAGGTACAGACCAAGAAACAGAAGCTGTGAGTATCGGGAGTATACCAAAGAGAAAACTTGGTAGGATGCTTCTAAGCTCTGTGTTACAGACAGATAGAGGAATTATGGAAATATTTGATCACAGTATGAATGTTATGATTCTTGATTGTTTAATACTGAGAATTGGCTTTTTTGACCTTTAAGTATAATTAACTTGTACTAGATTATTTAATTTCTAATTTTATATTTTAAGTGTTGTCATTGTTTTTACTCCCTATGTTAGCTGATGTGGAGTGTACATAGAAGAGAGAAAGTGTGTCTATAAGTCTGATAACTCAGTATCTTCCAGGTCATATTTGTGTCAAAGGGCAATGACCCAATGATGTCCTTCATGATGCCATTCCATCTGATGAAAGGATGCTCCATTGAACAGCCAGTATTTTCTGCCAATTATATCAAGGGAGTGATAGAAGCAGAACCAGGAGGTATGCATTTCCATTTGTAAATCTAATTAAATTTGTTAGGTTGCTGAAATTAAAAATCATGTGTAATATCTGTTTGAAGTGTTCTGTTTTGCATTTCCATTTCTCTAATCAGTATATATCCACAGGACATCTGTGGTAGTGTTGTGACATAATTCTGGTGTAAGTATCATGTGCCAGTTATGCATACTATCCTTCACCCTGCAAGAATTACCTTTTAACAACTTATGAAAGTGTGTTAGTCTTCAGAATGCTTTTCTTTGAGTTTACTTTAGAGTAAACAAAGAAGATTTCACCCTGGTTGTCATTATTCTTGTGCCTCTCTTTGGGAAGAGAAAAACCAGGATTTCAGAGTTTTCCAGGAAACACTTACTTTAGCTTGGAATTATTATTTGCAAAGCCATATTAGCTTCCGGTTGGCTGTAAGAAAGTTAAGTTCTTAATTTATATTCTGGTTACATTCTAGGCACTGAGTAAGTGTGTGATCATACAGGCATTTAGCCTACTGTTTGATCTGTTGTGGGTTGGTTCACACCTTTTTTGTGATGACCACATAACATAATTACTGGAATGAACCAGCCCATCCCCAGAGCATTCTTACCCATACTTTTCTGGGCCCCAGATTTTCCAGATTATTTTTGGGCTCTATTAGGACAGCATAGAATTTTTTTAAAAGAACAAAAGAAACCTCCTCCCAGAAGTGGGAGGAAATGGGGGAGTGAGGTGTTAGGTCAAAAAGTCTGACATCTGAGCAACTTCCTCAGAGCCCTGCAGAGCTTTATAGACCTCTAGAAAAAACCAGAACCCTGTGTTTACACAGCTGACATCCCTGAAAAAGGGTTAACTCCAGTGTGAACTTAGATAACCATTTCCAATTATATCAGTGTTCAAGGTAAATGTATTTTCATTGTTAGAATGATGCCAGGCAACATCAGCTGTCTATTTCTACGAGCTTTTTTGATCTATATTGATGCTGTGTTCCATAAGCATAATGTGAAATCCAAAATATTGAAAACATAACTTTTTGAGAAGTTATATGTATGCACATTTCAGTTACGCAGACATCAACCTTACAGCTGTGAAAAATTGTAGACATAAATGCTTTAAAATATATGAAAACTAATCTTAAATTAGAGGAAAATATTTAAGTCAGATTTCAATCCAAAATAAAGGGGCTTAAATAGCACAATAAAAGCAGAGAATACATCATTAAAAAATAAAAAGCATTATAGCTTTGAGCAGTCTTTAGCCTCTGAATGTTTCTTTAAACTCTGTTAGGGCAGCCCAGGCTGCATCAAATGGCATATTGGATCTTGACCCAACGTCTAGCAACCCTGTTTAGCTTGATCCACCCCACTCCAATTGGCACATTCCTAAATCAATGAAAACAGTTTGTTGGGCTACTCATCTCATTTTATCACATGAAACTTTTCACTTCTTGATTTCTTTAAGTACTACTTAAAATAAGAAGAAATTGCTTCGTGACTGTGAAAAAAATCCAGATTATATAAAAGTCACTTTGGTTTGTGGAGGAATATATGTAATGGACTAGAGAGGTTATATTTCAATCTTCTGGTAGTTTACTGAAATTGTTCTACATCTTACTTTCTTAAGTATGTATTGACATATCAAAATACAAAGATTTTCATTTGCCAAAAATGTGTGGGTTTTAATTAATTCTAATAATTTTGCCTTGACAGTCTTTTGGGAAACCCCCATCATTAAAATTTGAACATGTTTGCTTTTCCTTAGGTGGCTGGGAAGGGCAGGCTTCATTTAAGATGAGCTTCTTCAGTGGAGGTGCCATAGAATTTGGGCAAATGATGTTCAAACTTGCTAGTAATGGTAAGAATCCCCCCTCGCTTACCCTAGACTCCATACTAAGTATTCTATGCCTGCTTCCTCGTTTAGATACTGTAATTGACAGCTATATTGTCAGCTGGCCCTTCAGTTGTGCTTTAACCCTAGTATGCAATTATGAATGCTGCCTTCATCCACCCCAATGTGCTCCTGCCTCTGCCTAAACACCAGTAACATGTCAGGGATAGAGTCAGTTTTGCTTACGTTTGGTTTACTTTTAATTAAGTAGTAATTTGTTGTTTAGGACTTCATGTGCAGAGTGTTGCTTACTACATACATTTTGTTTAGCTTCCAGGGGAATACCTGCTCAGAGCTTTGGTTATGGATATACACCTGTTCCTGGTGGTTATGCCCCTCAACCTTTTCCTGGAGGATATGCACCTGCACCAGGGGGCTATGCTCCACCACCATATGCTGGACCATATGCCTATGTGCCTGTACAGATGAACGGATATGGACCTGCTCCACAACCTATGGGATATCCATATATGCCTCCACAAGGTAAAATATCTTGACAGTCTTAATCAAATAGTGTTGTTCAAGATGATACTATAGTGGTGCCTCGCTTAACGGGCGCCCCGTTTAACGACGAATCCGCATAGCGATGAAGATTTTGCGATCACAAAAGCAATCGCATTGCGATGGTTTAGATAGGAAAAAATCGCTTTGCGATGATCGGTAACCTGTTTCGCTTACCGATTATCGCATAGCGATGATTTTCCAACAGCTGATCAGCGGTTCCAAAATGGCCGCCCGCTGTGTTTTCGCCTGGATTCCTCACTTACCAGGCAGCGAAAATGGCAGCCGTATGGAGGATTTTGGCTTAAAGGGGAGTTTTAAGCCCATAGGAACGCATTGAAGGGGTTTCAATGCATTCCTATGGGCTTTTTAAAACCGCATAACGACGAAATTGCTTTGCAGCGATTTTTGTTGCACGGATTATCGTTGCTATGTGGGGCACCACTGTATATTGTGCTTGTTTGTGGTATGTACTGTCAAACTAGATGTGTTTAACTATGACATATAGATGAAATGACTGAGCCAGATGATCCAAATTGAGAAGTTATTAACAGCAGCATAGAATTGAGACCCCAGTTCCTGATTTTTAAGGTTTATTGTTTCATCACACCAATTCCTCACAGTGCAGCTGTGGAGGATGAGTAAGCCTCTGTTGGTGCTCTGCTGCCTATACAAACAAAATAAATGGTTGCAAGATGAGCAGTATCTGTTCAGCTTGCACATCAGCTGTCCTATTTTTAAGTATCTGTGAGTGATTTGGGGGAAAGCTCTCTGGCTGATTCTGGGAAAGGAGGCTAAAATATAGTACAGGAAAACCTTGGTGAACTGTTCCATGCCTTCTAGGCTGTGTGCTTGGATGCATAATGAGATCACTCTTGATACTGTAGGCATGTACCCTCCACATCCAGGAATGTACCCACCACCTCCTCCATATCCTGGCCCTCCTACTGCTGCAGGACCGTCAGCTCCAGCTGAGGCAGGACCTTCTACTCCTAGAACCTGGACAGAGCCAGGTGTGCCAGGTAAGATTTCAAGATGATTTTTATCTAAAAATAAGAACAATTGCATCAGGTTCTTAAGAAATCAATTTCTAGGTTTTAAGTTCTCTGAGGAAACATGGAGTTCTGAGCTTTTGTGATGCAGAGTAACTGTCTTCTGATGTAGAAGATATCCTACTGTTTGGACCATGCTGTCTTAAAATTCATTCATTCTTTTTTTTTTTTTTGGCCTTACCTTTCCCCCAATAAAGGGACATAAGGCATCTTGGGAATGTGATCCTTAGATGTTTTCTAGCAATCTTAATAAAAAGTTGAAAATAATTTATAAAAGCAGAAGAATATATTACATCTTATAGAACTACTCTGAAGTGATTGTCCAAATGTAGTCAGATGATTTCTTTAGATATTTTTTCATAAAGGAGAATGATCCTGTTCTAATATCTAGCTATTATGAAACTGTGTGGAATTTCTGAGGGATGTGAAATGACATCTGTGAAAGTTAGTCCAAAGTTTCAAAAGCTTTAGATCCCAAATAAAGCCTAGGTAGCTACCTAAGCCCAAAGAAAGTGTTTTGACTACAAACTATATACTGTATGTAGTTCCCCTCTTTTATAATTATTTTTCTCGGCCTCAGTCATATGACAGGAATCTCTTTTCTCTTTCCTTGCTTCTCGCCAAATCAGCTATACTTAAAAATCAACCTGTTACTAAGTACATAGTCACATCCTACTTTCTAGTTGAGAATACAGACTCTGCATTTTTAATCCAGTGAATGATGTCAAATAAGTATTTGCAGATATAAAGTGTGTATGTTCTGTTTTTGTATGTATTATAAAAAGAAAAAGTATTGACTGATTTTTCTCCTGTGCTGATTTTATTCTTGTGCAACAAAGCAGCAGAGGCAACTTCCAGTGCATATTATAACCCAGCCAATCCTCATAATGTCTACATGCCTATGGTAAGGAATTTGTATAGAACTGATTGATGGTGGGATGGGTGGGGACAGCACAAAGGAAGGGGGCTCAGAAGTAGAATTAGCATTCAGATGAACGTAAGTTGTACGCATTTGTTAAATTACAACATGCAGTTTGTTACAGGACAGCAAGTGCACCTGGTATCTTTGTAACTATAGAAAGCAATAGTTATGCTAAAAGTGAGTTGGAATGTATTGAATTATAGAAGGAAATGGGCTGCACTGAAAACCATTGCCCCTCTTAAGACTTAAATGTTCCCTACCTGGCAGTCTGAATGTATTTGGCCCCTCATTTGCTTTTGTTATTAGAATGGGGCAGTTGAAGATCCCTTCCACTGCAGCAGTGTACAGTTGAGTGCTTGGTCTTACAGTATATTTCTGTTGTGAGCAGTATTGGAATTGTGTGAAGGATACTTTGTGGTTTGATGAACCTCATTTATATGTCTAATCTTGGAACATGATGGATCACAAATGATGTTGGGTTAGCATGTCTTTAATGCAATTTTCAGTTTTGTTAGCTTATATCTTAATAGTGAGTGGTTGTGATGAAAATAAGGAAAGCTTAGCCATAGTATGTAAAAAGGGGAGATTTCATGTAAAAATGAATGTGCCAATTTAAACTATCTCCCTTTATTTTAGAATCGTCCATCTCCTTCTGCACCACTTGAGGAGAAGAAGAACAACTAACAGGATCGCATTAGCTACCTTCCCATGTTTCTTATCCTTGAAAACTTTGTCATTGCCATCACCTCTGGGTTCTCAGTTTCTAGGTCATCCCATGTGAATAATATTGGGTGACATCTAACACCTGCTGTTCTTACAGTTCTAGTATGGCAATACAAGAGCAGTGACAGCAATGCTTTCCTGACTGCTTGCTTTCTCTCCTGAGAACTGCCATGATTGTTTTAGCCAGAGTTTGAAAGGAGTTGTGAATTATCAAAGCTACTTCACATATGTAGGAGTGAAATAATGAAGCTTTTTATATGAAACAAAATACTCTCATAAAATAAGACAGACACTATCTACTGGGAGTATTTAGCTTTCATGCATCTCCGCATGCCTGTGGGTATCGTGTTACAATTTTCACTCTATGCAGTTTAATGCATGAGAGGGAATTCTATTAATATGCAGGGTTTGTGCCTCTTTCCTAAGTTTCAGGGAGAACTCTCTAATGATGACTTGAAAAGGATGTCCCGGGGGTTTAAGAGTGGGGTGGGTAGAAAGAACTAGAAGATTAAAGAGTTGCTTTATTTTGAAATAATTGTCACCGTATCTCCACCTTCTACGGTATAAAAACCACATATGGCTCTATGGCAAAGATTTTCTTGTAACTTATTTAACTTCTTGCAAAAAGGATACAAAGTGGAAATACAGAGGGATATGTGCAAGTGTGAAATTGTAAGTTACACATTTTCTGCTTCATTGGGTTTTTTGTTTTCTTAGATCAGTATTTGTAAGATACGGGGCCTATAATAATGGGTGTTGAATTATTTCTCCATTCTGTTCATGATGCAAATGAGAAATCTTGGAAGGATCGATTATTTTGAACTGGGACCAAAGAAAGTGATTCATGAAACTAACAGCCTGCAAAAACAAGGAGCAAAATAAAATGTAGCTAAGCAAATACTGTAATGTAGAAAATGCAGAAATAAGAGCAAGCAATAGGCTTCAACTGTTCAGGGAAAAAGATCAAAGCAGAATGTATTGATCTCCTGGAAATCAGCCCCATCTGCGCCGAACATTCCTTAGTACCTAGTAGCAGCCAGTATAGTAGAAAAATTTGATAGCAGAGTATGTTTCCTATTATAGCAAATGGAAATGATTTTAACAGTTAACTTGGCAAAGTCCTCAGATGGCTAGGATGTAGCTCCATCTGCAGAGGCCTAATGCAGTTAGAAAGGGCTAGCTACATCTGAGAGCTGGATGTGATTGGGAGATTTGCTGGTGTACAAAAAGTTGTGATGTGGTAGAATTTTTGCAGCTGAACAGTATGGGAGGAGACTGATTACATTTGAACAAGAAAGGTCAAAAGGATATTTTACCAGTCAGAAACCTAGAGGCAATTAGCATTTGAATATTGTTTTCTTTCTTAACCAGTTCCTCATTCAGCAGTGACTTCTCACATGCTTTTTTTCCTTATATTTTTTCTACAATGGACTTTTACTCCACTCATGTAAATTAACAATAGTTTACCTAAGTCCTAGTCTTTGGGGGATTCCACACCCCTGCCCTCCTGGATGCTTTGATTGTATTAAACAAGAAAAAAACACAAGACATATAGTGATATGTCTTGGTAGATCCTTTTCTATTTTCCCTCAAAGAACTGAGCATATTACTCAGTGTAGCAAAAGCTTTTCTAATAAATCCTTATAAATTGAATCCAAGAGGCTTAACAACTTTCTGTACCTTGATTTTAGCTGTTTGTGATATTTTTGTAAAGCACTTTAATACAGAAATATTGAAATATTTTGTGTTTGTAGTGGTGTATTAATAACTTGGTGAGTTTGGGGAGATATGGAAAAAATACACAAAATAGCCTAAAATTTGTTTGGTGACTTCATGCCAGAACTAATATGCAAAACATTCAATTCCTTGCACAGGACAGAAATATCTTAGGGGGACAAATTCAAGAAGTACCTTTAACAGAATTATGAGGGGATACATATTCATTTTTATCTTTTTTTTTTTTTAAGTTCTGTCCTGAAGTATAACTAAGTCTTATGGAGAACATAAACAGCCTTGATACTTCTCTCAATTTCTGTGACTTATGAATTGCTAGGTTGCTAATTTAACTAAATTGTCTCAACATGGAAAATGTGTGTTGTTTGCTCCAAAATTGGCAGAGATGCATTCAAAGTAGTTTTTCAATGATCATATGACATAAAGGTTATGCAAAACAGCCTATCCTTTTTTCCCTTCCATTCCAGACTTTTCTCCCCTGTTGCTGGGGGCTGCTACTTTTTTCTAACTGCAACAATTTAAATGGTGTTTCGCCTAAGTGATAATTTGTTTTGTTCTATAAAAGGATTGGGATGTGTTTGGCTTTGGGTGGTTTTCTGGTGACATAGTAAGTTACTCAAGATGTTTTGGGACAGTGGGAACACCCCCATTCCTGGAAATCTTTTTCCCCAGTCACCCCAAAGTATTATTTTTAAAAAACAAACTATGAAGTCTAGCACTAGATCACCTTATCACTGCATTGCTACATTATTTTAGTACTAGATTACCTTTGGATGGGAGAAGGAGTAAAAACTGATAAAATCAAAAGAACTGACAATCTCCTGGAGACTATGGTGGTTCCATAGTACAGGTGTATGTGTCTATGTGTATGGGAAAACTGTTCCTTTTTCCCTACTGCTGTGCAACCCTTTAAACAGTACCAGCAGTGTGATATACTGCTAGAGATGGGCACAAACCTTGGTTCGTAGGTTCATGCTGATTTAAATGCATGGCATCACAGGTGGTGCATGTTCTATAGCTCTGTCTCTCTAGCTAGATCCCCCATTCAGCAACTGGTGCACATCCTTCTCCTCCTCTTCAATTGTTTGACCAGTCTCCAGCGGGAGCACGCACTTCCCTGCCCTACCTCCTTGGCTCATTGTCCACTCAGATAAGGAGCAGGACAGGCAAACCTGTGCGCCTGCCAGGAACTCATCAAACAGCTGGAGAGGAGGAGGGAGTAGCGCACTCTGACTTGTGACTGGATCATTGGCTGGGGAGGTGGGGGAAGTGAACATGCAACACCTGTGGTGCCATGCATATGCACTGGTATGATCTGAGTTTTGTGCCCCTTTCTACGTAGTACCCTGGAAGTCAGCATGGAAATTTCAGCAGGTCCAAAATGTGACTGCCACATTTTGTGGCAGGTACCAGCAGACATGAATGCATATCCCCCAATCTTGGCGCACCTTCACTAACCCTATATTAGCTTATGTACCCCCCAATGGAAGGTGCTGGTCATAACCTATAAATCCATTAACAATTTGGGACAAGTAAAACTACTTGTCAGGTTGTTTCTCCCACAAAACAGCTATCTATTTCATCCATGATGTTAACAATTTTGACACCCAAAGAGACCAAAAGAGCTAACACCAGGATCCAAGCTTTCTGGGTTACAGCCCCCTCCCTCTGGACCAAGCTTCCAACAGAAGTTTGCCAGAAACCATCCTTCTCTTAGAAAATCAGTTAAAACGTAATTATTTAAAGCTGTCTTTTATTATTGCTTTTAACCACTGACCTGAGATGTCCAATTTGGTTTTACATCTGTTTAAATGCCATTTTTAAGCTAGTGACAGTTTTATTTATTGTATGGTATTCATTGAATATTGCATTTCATAGTATTGATTTTAATGTGATTTGACATGTTGTGACCCAACCAGAGAGTGGTCACACTAATAAGTTTGTTTAGTTTTATTAATTAATAAGTAAGTAAACAAAAGGTGATCTGGAAACTGCCAGTGGATGCAGACTGAACTGCATCAGATTGAGATGCCAATGTAGACACTACCACTAAAAACAATCCAGGGTCTTCCTGGGGACAACTAAACCAAATGCAGTAACAAAAGAGATTGTGACTCAACCCAATGCAAAATTTTGCCAATATAATTTATTCCTCAGTTTTTGAGAAAATGTCCTTTATTGAGAATCTAATTAAACAAATTAAAAATTTGAAAATATTTTTTGAAACCCAAGGTACTGGAAAAATTGGATATTCAAGTGGCTTGCAGCACTCTGTGGCTTAACACAGAAAAAGGAATTACAGTGGTATTAAACCAACTAACATTTTTCAGTACTCGCATGAGTGTATCAGCCTGGTCACTGTAGAAAGAAATCACATCCCTTGGATTACAAGGAAAAAAGGGGGTGTATAACCTTTGTATGAAGAAAGCAAAATAACAGTTCTAGAAGGAGATTGTCTCATAGCCTTTAACAACAGCTGCAGCTACTGCAGTGACAGATGAAAACTGAAGCAGGGTGATTTGATGCAAAATTTTCTTCTTTCTGACTACAACTCCTAGAATACCCAACCACCATAGCCATTTGCCATACTATTTAAAAGTGCTCTGAACACACATTTCTTTTTCACCTTATCTTGTTTGTTTGTTTTATAGGTTGCCTTTCTCCCAATAAAGGGGCTCGCAAGGTGGCTTAATATGTTAAAGTGATTCCATACAAGCACCATTACAGCTACAATTCTATATAAATGTACCATGTAATCTTGTCCATGTCTACTCAGAAGTAATACCTATTAGCCAAAATCATGTCAGCATAATGTTATGCTGGCAGAACCTGATGATATCAGATGGCACTGGTAAAATTTAATTCAATTTGACTAAAAGCTCTCTTGCTCTGGGGAAACCTTTGGGAACCTTGTGATGGGGATAAACTTTTAATCACGAAAAACCACCAGCAGCAGTCCCGATCCTGGCAGCATCAATTTTGCTCCAATTTTTGGTGATTAAATGATTCCTCCCCCCCCCCATGGAGCCTCTCAAAGGCTTATCTGGGGCAAAAAGGCGCCTTGGAACCTAGTGGGGGGTGGGGAAGGAATATTTTAATTAATCTAAATTAAATTTTACCATCACCAGCTCATGTCACCAACTTCTGCTTGTATATATTTCTACAACAGGATTTTGTCGTTTGAGCCCAGAGGGACTCCCAAGTAAGTCCAGAATTTCAATTTTTGCCCATCTGAATTTGTGGGAGTCAGCTACAGAACTAGGTTTCAATCTAGCCCTGTAAGGTAGATGTAGTACCCTGTTTCCCTGAAAAACTTTGGAGAGAGGCTCATAACATTGTACAGGAGGCAGCAACAAAAGCCATCCCAAAGAAAAAGAAAGGCAAGAAAGCAAAGTGGCTGTCCAGTGAGGCCTTAGAAATAGCAGAGAAGAGAAGGGAAACAAAATGCAAGTGAGATAGGGAAAGTTACAGAAAATTGAATGCTGACTTCCAAAGAACAGCAAGGAGAGACAAGAGGGCCTTCTTAAATGAACAATGCAAAGAAATAGAGGAAAATAATAGAAAAGGGAAAACCAGAGATCTGTTCAGGAAAATTGGAAATATTAAAGGAACATTTTGTGCATGGAGAAAGCCAGAGAGTTCCAAAACAAAACATCTACTTCTGCTTCACTGACGACGCAAAAGCCTTTGACTGTGTGAACCACAGCAAACTATGGCAAGTCCTTCAAGAAATGGGAGTGCCTGACCACCTTATCTATCTCCTGAGAAACCTATATATGGGACAGGAAGCAGCAATTAGAACTGGATATTCAACTGATTGGTTCAAAATTGGGCAAGGAGTACAACAAGCTGTATATTGCCCCTGCTTATTTAACTTATATGCAGAATACATCATGCGAAAGGCCGGAAGAA